GTTACCACCCACCCTACTACCCCTCCACCCCACCCCACCCCCACCCCTACCGCTAAAAAAAAAAAAATTCACCGTTTTTTTTTTGCAATTTCAAATTTCTGTTTTTTCATTTTTCTGCAGCACCCACCCCCACTCTCCCCCTACCCCTAACCCCCCCCCCCCGAAAAAAAATATTTTTTAAATATATTTTTCAGTTTTTAGTTTTTTTAATCGGTTTAAAGGTTCAAAATTTTACAAGTACCAAAGTTATGAGTTCGGAGGTTTATGTGTTTGGAAGTTTACGGGTTCGAAATTCCGCGGTTTCGAAAGTTTATGAAATTTGTGGATTCGGAAGGTTGTTGGTTTGAAAGTTTATGGCTTCATGTTTATTATATCTAAATTATTTATGAATACTCTTGAGAAGTCATTTTCCTTAATTTGCGTACCAAACACCGGAAAATGAATAAGATTACTACTTGTTTTCCAATAAAATATTTTCCACGGAAAATATTTTCCGTTATACCAAACACACCCTTTCTGTCAAATTTAATTTTCGAGTGACAAATCAAAGTGATTTTAAAGTTACAAAATTTAGTTTAATGACTTATACGTGGTAATGGGGACGTAACTTTATGACGGGCCATTTATTTCTTTGTTTTCGAGTTATGGCGGGCAGTTGGGCATAACAAATGTTGCACTTGACCAACAAGAGTTATGGTGGAGTGGTAAGTACTCCTTCGTCATTAACCAGAGGTCTCGAGTTCAAGTCTCTGGGTATGAAGTCGCCTTTGTTAGGAAGCACTTTACCCCCAATGTGGTACTTTCCGGCACAAATCCGGATTAGTAGTGCCCAAATATAGGTATCGGATACCGGGTAAGAAATCAAAAAAAAAATGTTGCACTTGACAAACTTCAGCCATTTCGTTCGGTTTGTTGAGAAGAAATTATGTGTCACTTAGTGAACTTAAGACTAAGACGCTGATTTTCTCAACTGCAAATTTGGTCGACTTTTATTGCCAATAAATCTAATCATTAAGTAGACACTTACTGGTGGTTGATGATCCATTCATTTTCTCCGCCTTTTTGATACTGATGGGACCGAATTATGAAGTTGGAAAGCAGCTAAAGTAACCATCTGGATTTCAGAGGAACAAAATTTCATCTTTTCACAAATCGTGCTTTTGCCGCCTTGTAGTTCAAGACTTTATAAACATTTTTAGAAACCATGAGTATAACTTGTCTGAGCTAACTATATACTTTCTCTGTTCATTTTTATTTGTTCAATATTCTAAAAATAAATTTTCACCTTTACTTATGCTCACATTATTAATTTCTCATTTTAAAATATTTTCTTAAATCCATTTAAAATATATATCAACTAATATGGATATCATGGTAATTATGCACCCCATTATTAATTTTTTAAAGGGTGTGCAAAATCCATACTGAACAAGTGAACGGAGAGGGTGTGAGCGCTACTGTGTTAAAACACAAAATCAGAAAAAACTGTTAGAAACATAAAAGAAACTGGAAAAACAGAAGAGTTTAAGAAATATTCCGAGTCCACAATTTTCTTGTGTGTCCTTAAGGAATTTTAACCCCCTCACACGTTGCCAAGGTAATGGATTAAATCCTCCCAGGATAAAACGGAATAAACCTTCCTGCAACAGTGGCAATACAAACAGCAGGATACCAACGAACTCAAAGAACGGAGCAAAATCACACTTACGAATTTGAGAGAGAGAGACTGCGAATTAGGATGCAGTATATTCAGTAAGAAAGAAGTTGTAGAGTGTTTTTCGTGTGTAGAAAATGGAGCCTTGCCTCAGAATTTATAGGCAATTATCAGAAGAGGTGTCTGTAAAAGGTGCCTTTTCAAAAGAATACGCTGCCTGCCGCGGTTCTACTGCGGTCGCGGCAAAACCGCGGTCAGAGAGGCTTTCTGAACCTGCTTGCCGCGGTTCTACCGCGGTCGCGGCAGAACCGCGGCCAGAGAGGCCCTCTGAACCTTCAGCAGGGTTCTGGCGTATTTTCAGCAGTGATTTGGCATTTAATTAATTATTAAATAATTAAATAAATTTTGTCCAAAAATAATCTTATCGATCGATCATTTGACAAATCCAAATCCAAATCCAAATTCAAAGCCAAAGCCAAAGCCGAGTCGAGTGAGCGACGATGACGGCGCGAGGGTTAATTCTCTTCAACTCCTTTTAAGAGCTTTAAGAAGTGATTCTATATATAAGCACACAAATGTGGTTGTCCCTCACCAATGAGGGACAAAGTGCAAGACAAAAGTTCACTTCTTCAAATTTTCGATTTCCCTCCATTTTGTTTCCCTCCATTTCCAATTCACACTTCTTCTACTTTAAAGCTCAATGGCTTAAAGTCCAACAATCCCCCACATGAATGGGAATGGCTATATCAAGAAATATCATAGATGAAAGCTATGTGATTTTGCAAGTAAGGATTAATTGCATCTGGATAAGTAGGTTTCCCTTTGAACTTTCCATAGTGAACACATGTCGGTTATACTCGGTCAATCGGTAGATTTGATATCTTTGAACCGTCGAACTTTAATGTATACCTAGACAACCATATGTCACACAATCAACCCTTAACCGTCTTTTAGTTCTCATTGTTGTGTTCGTTTCAGCCATGAACACCGCCTGGTCTCATAAGTGCGTAGAGAATTGGCCTTACAGAATTCTCATTGAAGCGGCTTCCATTTCACACTTACATAGGTGATTCCTAAACGTGTAATCCTTTAGATTGACACTATTTGATAACTACCACATCAAACTTAGGTAATCATTAAAGAACGTGTAAAGTTCTATCCTTGTTACTGAACATTGTCTTCATCACGAGAATAGACCAAAGATTTTATTTTCACAATGTTGAACCGGTCAATCACAACTTTGTTTGAGCTCCTTGAACCTAGATCTCGGAACATCCAAAATTCTAGGTAGAGTTACCGCCATGTTGACTTGTCCTCGGCCATAATCCCATTCCCTTAGATGATTTCTCAACTCCCTCTCTAGTTAAGCCTTTTGTAAGCGGATCCGCTACATTATCCTTTGATCTTACATAATCAATAGTGATAATTCCACTAGAAAGTAGTTGTCTAACGGTGTTATGTCTTCGTCGTATATGACGAGACTTTCCTTTATACATAACGCTCCCTGCCCGTCCTATTGCAGCCTCACTATCGCAATGTATGCAAATAGGACCCAAAGGTTTTGTCCAGAACGGAATGTCTTCTAAAAATTTTGAAGCCATTCAGCTTCTTCACCGGCTTTATCCAAAGCTATAAACTCTTATTCCATTGTAGAGCGAGCAATGCACGTTTGTTTGGAAGACTTCCAAGATACTGCTCCTCCACCAACAGTAAAAATATATCCACTTGTGGACTTTGTTTCTGATGAGCCGGTTATCCAATTTGCATCACTATATCCTTTGATAACCGCAGGATATTTATTGTAATGCAAAG